CGGGGCTCGTCGGTAGTCCCGGGTCGCGGTGTGCGCGCCCTGCGGTTCGGTGTTGCGTTGGTGGGCCGTTTTAAGAGGGGGCGAGCGAAACAAACCGCGCCAATGCAAGGCTGCGGACTCCTGAGTGTTTCGCTGACGTTCACAACAAAACACTGCAGTTTTTCCGCACAGAATCGCTTTTGGTTATTTAAATAAATTAAGCCCAACACACTACACGTTTTATCTGCATAACACGCACGGGAGAATGACATGAGGAGTGATCAAATTGCTGTTTCCTCACACCAGGATGAACACCAATGGCACCAACTCCAGACGCCGGCCGCCTCACAGCAGCACTTCATTCGGGACAGGGAGGCCCGCGAGACCCGCTTCGATGCTGTCCGTCATGTTTTCCATCATCAGGCGGCGCGTCTTCTTGGTGGCACTGCCAATGTGCGGAGTGATCACAACGTTCCTCAGCTGCAGCAATGGGTGATCCCTGGGAAAGGGAATGAAACACCGAGCTGGCCACTCGCAGAGCATTCACCCGTTCTTTCGTCACCGGAAGGGAGCCAGGGAAACATTTAAAAGAATAATTAAAAATAAAACCGGATTGCACGACCCAAGCATGCTCAGAGGAGTTCAAACTGCTGCTTAGCTTGCGGTTTGTTAACGCAACAGATCCTCCAAATGAGTCAGGGTGAATTTCGCTTGGCCAGGACAGAAGGATGACGAACTTCATTCCAGTAGGACTAGTGTACACACATCGTGTACTCCTACTAAAAAAGTCATCACCTAACTTGTCTCGTGCTTGCAAACCTGTACTCAGTTTGAACCACACGCACACACTCATTTATGTTTAACTTAAATACATGTCCTACCTTGGCAAAGGCTCAGGATATGTCACATCCAGAGCAGCTGCCTTAATAACTCTGTTTTGAAGGGCTTCCACCAACGCATCCTGATCCACAACCAGACCTAGGGTGCAGAAAGAAGGATACTCTTATTTTCATTCTCTCCCCACCCTTTTGGGCACGGTGGTCAGGCAAACAGCAGGGCTGGTGACGTTCACAAAGCTGAAGCGGCAGCAGAGACGGGGTGGTGAGGCGGGAGGAGGAAGATGGGGTATGCGCATCAGAGTTGGGCGGTCAGGCATTTTTGAAGACGGTACACAGCGCCGTAAACCAAAGTACAGTGCCAGACTTCAGAGTGGGCTGTGCCACCCTGATGTGTGTTAGCAACAACACTGCACTAAGCAGAAACAAAGCTTAAGTAGAAGATTATACAAATCTACACGGGCTTCTAACACTCCAAGCTCATTAAAATTTTAGAGACCTGCTTGCTCATAGTTAAGGAAATGCTCAAATGTTTTGCTTAGATAGGACTGTGAACGTCTAAATAATCTACTAATGAGAGAATGTACTGAAAATTCCAGAGTGATAGACTCCGTATTAGGGTTGGGTTTTCCCAGGACTTTTTATGCCAGCAAACCATTACATGGTTTTGTTTATTCTGGCCCTACCTCTGCTGATATTAATGAGAGTAGCTGTGGGTTTCATCAGCTCCAGCTCCCTCTTCCCAATCAGTCTGCATGTCTGTGGAGTCAGGTTCACAGACAGCAACACAAAATCTGACTGCCGGAGCAGATCGTCTATCTTCTTACAGTAAATAGCTCCAACAGAACTTTCTTCTTCCTTGTTTCTGAGGGGGAAAAACCCAAAATTAAACTCCAGTAGTAAGCAACAAGAAGTTCAAAACACCATTAAAGAAAAGGTTTCTTAATTGTTTTCTTCACTCCGTAGTGCTAAGCAGTTAGCCAGTTATCTGACTGAAACTCCGTGAAGAAAAACGTTAAGCTGTTTCACATAACATCAAGTGCACTATACACAAATGTACTGTACCTGCGGGGATGGAAAGTAAGAAATGAGTATCATGTAAATGCACCAAATAAATAATATAATAAATGCATTTATGTCACAGCTTCTGGTTGTAACAGCGATTCTTTTCCAACCCAAAACCAAGACTGATATTAGACACAAATTCCCTTCCCTGTGAAAAGTAACTTGTCTGAAAATACTGAGGAAACCCACAAGGCAGGGCAGGGGTTAAATCTTCAGAAATCTGTGTCAGCAGCAGCCTCTTGGCTCTGTGCGTCAGTGCTGTTTCACTGAAACCACACGCTGCAGGACCTGCCCATGCGTTCGGTCCGCGTCAGGACAAGGCTGGGGCACGTACTGCCCAGCTCCCACCAGATGCCCACAGAGGAAAAGGATGGGATGGGCCTGATGGGAGCTATGGCATACATGAAGGGCACATACACCTTATCTAGAAGACAGTAAACAGGCTGGCAAGTCCGGTTCTTCATTGCCAGCTGGCTTTGAAAGGGCGAGACGGCCCTGCCTGCGTCCCTGCCTCACCGAAGTCACAGGAGTTATGTCCTCCCAGACTATTTCTCCTTTCCTCAGCCTATTGCAATGCCACTAGCACGACAGGAAGGCCCAGCAAGCCCTGACTCACAGGGACACCAGTGAGATGTCTCTCTCCCATTCCTTCCTCACTTTGTTGCTGTATGAATTGGGAAATTAATGACTGTCCTGAAGCAAGTGTATGTACTTTGCCACTTACAATAAATAGCCAGTAATAAAGCAGCTACTTATTCCCCCCCCCCCGGGGCCCGGGTGGCAGCTCCCCCCGGGGCCGTCAGCCCCTGCCCCAGCGATGCTGCAGCAGGGACGGTCTCCAGCTGCTCCCCTCAGCCCCGGCCTGGCCTTATCACTGTGAAGTCGCCTGATGATTGGGACTTTTGGGTGGACCTGGCCACAATCGGAGGCCCTTGCTGCTTCCCAGCACAATATTTAATAACAACAGTGCAGAGAGCACGTCGTCCTATCTTAACACAGAGAGGACAGGAGATCAGTTTGACAGTGAAAGGTACAAACAACATTTAAAAGCAGTGACAAAACAGACTTTCCATGGAGCTGTAACCAGCTTTACCTCTGATTCCTGTTGTGGTACAAAATTTTCATTTCAAAGGCTTTGGCTCTCTCTGCCACTTTGTAGCCAATGTTGCCCATCCCCACGATCCCCAGGGTCGCTCCAGAAACCTCCGCCCCCAGCCAGTCAGCGGGGAAATATTCTGTGTCAGGGGACACTGCCATCTGGTAGCCTTGGAGGAGGGAAAAGAAAAAACGTCATGTAAAGGATGTCCTGGCATCTGGTTACTTTTTTCCCCACTTACTTTTTGTTGTAAGACAAGGCAGAAGCAGAGGAGCAGTAACACAATGTTATTGTGTTTCTGAATGAGAAGTGAATAATGCTGCACTGTCAACATGACATCTGACATTTATTCCTTGCTTACGACAGAAACATATCCAGCTCCTCTTTGGCAGAGAAGGATGGTAAGGCCAAAGCAGCACCCTCCCTCTGATGTACATCACACACCTGCCCATCATCTCGCTCTGCCTGCACTACAGATTATTGCGCCACTGAAATGCGCCGTGGCAACACAGCTTCTTGCTCATGGTGGTTCATCAGGAGGGCTTGCAAAACTGGCAGTGCCACAGATGTCACCTTTATGATAAATACTGAGCAGTGCAACCGATGAATCCATTGCAGTATCATCAAGACTATTCAGTAAGGCCAAAATATGATTCCCAGCTATCTTGCAGATACACAAAAGTTGGCAGAGGAAAGAAACACAGAACATGGTGGGCAGATTTCTGGACAGCTTGCTTGTAATGACTCAGATACACGTCAGCTCGGCAAAGACAGGTTACAAGCCTCCTTGAAAGTATCTCCTTGTAATCCCCTTTTAATCAACTTGAGAAGCAACACTGCAGTGAACAAGTAGAACGAGTAAGTGGCTATGGGCTGGGGGAGCAGAGGCCTGAATTTAGGGCTGTCTGAAGAGGGACAACATCTACCTTGCTGATACGCCTGTCTGGAAATGGCATGTGCTGCATGCAAGTTACTGTCAAAGTGACAGATTTGTCTTAACTTTTTCCTCATCCCTTTATTTTCCTGTATTTCTACTTTTAAGCTTACCTTTGCATCAGCACACACTTTCTAACTGCATGGTTTGAAGAGTCATCTTTCCTACAAAAAGACTAAAACCATTTAATTTCTTACCTTCCACAAGTCTCCTGGAAGATGCCAGCATCAAAGCCATCCCCAAGTCTGCAGTGTCAGTGGAAACAACAAACGGTGTGTTGGACACTTTCACACCATAGCTGGAGAGGAGTTTCAGGTCCAAGTGATCTATTCCCACTCCAGAATTCGCAACTATCTTCAAGTTAGGCAGGCTCTGGAGCAGCTCTTCATTAATAACCGGTTTGTGATACCACATATAAATAGCTCTGATCTTTTTGCTGAGGAATTTCTTGTTTTCAAGATACTCTTTCATGGTGACGAGATGAAAATGTTTCTCCAGAAATTCGACATGGTCTTCATATACTCCATGCTTTCCTCCTATACAGTCAATTAGCACATAAGGCAGCTCCTGACCCTCCATGCCCTACAGATGCAAAGAGAGAACAAAAGGACGTGTGATCCATGATACCTTTTTTAAAGGACAGGAATTGCTTGGCTCCATTACATGCTGTTTTCCCACTTGATGACAGAATAGGCTAAAGATACTCACTGGGACATGCAGAACTTTTCTTGTGTTCTTCCTACACTATTCAGAAGGATGTTCAATTTTTATATAACCTTGTATAACAAGACAAGAAAACCTTGTTTCTGGCATACCCGCTATGCTAACACTTCAACAAAAGAGCTACCAGATGTCACTCCTGCTCAGTACTCCATATTTAAAGGCCAAAGTCTTAGTAAGGTCCTGTGAGCAGAAGGGTCTCTTTCAGCCGCTGCGTTCTGCCTTTGGTTGCCACCTGCGCAACCACGGTCAGCCATCA